TGGTGAAGGCAGGAGCCCCCGTTATTCTTTCCGAGTCCAGTATGTGTGAGGACCCAGGGCTCAACTGCTATAAATTCAAGCTATGTTCTTAGACTGCACCATGCACCGCTTTTGTAATGCAAATGGTGGGCACAAAGTGTCCCTTTGATAATGTGCAGTCAGGAGACAAAAAGGCATTCACGGGAACAGTCAAACTAATTCAGAAAGCTAAGAGACAATAGGAAAGCATTATGGATATTTAAAAAATATATATATCGTAGATCAATTTGATGGTGACCAATGTAAACAGTTCAAACACAAGCCAGGAGGAGGCAGGGGAAGGGGAGAGCCCCCAAGCGCTGCGCTGGCACGTTGGCTGACCCTGCACAAGTTTGGCTAAAGCAAGGATTCAGGGTTCAGCGTGTCGCTGGGGGGCTTTATTCCAGTTACTGAGTAAGGTGCAGGCTGGGTTGCCATTCAGAAATGTTAAATTAACGTGGTTTTATTTTTCTTTTCTTGCTGAGGTTAGAAAATGGTTGATAGGGACTCCTGAGGGTGTAAATTTTGGGGGGTGGTTTCTCCCCCATCGCATACCAGAGCTTCGCTCAAGGTCATCTCGTGTTGGTGCATTAAACTTAGCTCCGGAGGAGGCAGAGGGCTGGAGGAAGGGGATGAAAGCACTTCCGAAATGGCTCTCCCGGCGCGTTCAGCCAAGCGGCAGCACCGCCGTGATAAGGGCAATGCTGGAGCGCTGCCACCGCTCCCCGCGTTAGATCAGTTCCTCCCCAGCCCCTTCCCCTGCCCCTCATAGTGCCACGTTGTGCTGGGAAATCACTCCTGCCTCCGGGCTTTGGTGGGGCCGGCTGGCAGGTTGGGTGCTGAGGCGGTGCCGTGCTGCCCAAAATTACCAGGCTGGGGTGGGAAGGGGCAGTTTTGCCCCCCAGCATCTCAGCAGCAAGCCCCAGGCAGGATTGTTTCCAGCCCTTCTGTGACCATTAGGATGTGCTGCTCCAGTGGGCAAGTCAGAAGGGGAGGGAGTGTTATTGATACTTCTTTACCAGCACGGATAAGATAAAGTCTATCACTGTCCTGGCATCCAGCACGGGCAGCTCGTGGTGGAAAATTTGATGAAAGGAGTACGTTTGGACAAGGAGGATCATTAAGATAGGAACTTGGACACCTTCCATCTGTATATTCTGTAGACTTTACCCAACTGGCTGTAGTCAAAGGTGGTAAAAAAAAAAAAAAAAAAAGTCTTATTGTTTGTTTTGCTGAAAGTGATCTTGGCTGCATTAAAAAAGGGCTTTCATTAAGACTGCTGCTCTCTAAATACCATTCATAAAACAGTGAGGAGAGAATATGATGGAAAGTTACATTTTTCTCTCTGTCACTTTGATTTCTTTGTTACTGCTAAAATGACTGCTCTGACTCATATTTTGCATAGTTATTTTTACCTTTTCAAATGTTCCTTAACTGTTCATATTACCCTGGGCAAATCCCCCAGGGATAATTTTCATTTGCATGCAGACTTTGATGGTGTTATTAAGCAATCACTTCTGTACTAAGTCATTATTAAAAGTAATACCACAGAGCCTCAAAAACACATTAATGGTGCCAAACAATCCACATTTCAGCGCTAGATTTATGGTAAGGGAAAAGCACTAGGGCTCATACTGTTCGGTGGATGCAGCTCCATAATGCTGCAGCAGCATTACTGAATCCAGAGGAGCAGGGATTATCAGAAAATATCGGAGCTGGACTCGGTCATTTGCTGTCAGCCTTATTCTTTCAAATGCCTTTTTTTTTTTTTTTTACGTGTCTGCTTCCTTCCTTTTTATTTTTTTATTTTTTCCTCTTGGATTTTCCCTTTTTCTCTGGCCTTGGCAAGAAAGCCTGGCTGCAGTATTCCAGCATCCCCAGGCTGGTTCTGGGAAGGAGGGTCAGCCTTCCTATACGTAATCACCGTTTTATGGCTTTCACTCGCTCTTGAGGTGTTAATGCAGATCAAATGGAAAACACTCCAGCAAGAGCGTTACAGCTACTTGCACTGCCCCATACACGGTCCCAATCGTTAATTCTTATTGTAAGACCTAAAGGTAATTCTGTTTGCTCTCCTAATGCATTGCAGCTCTCCCGGTGGTCCAGCATATCTTTTCTCAAATTCCCATCTTGATCAATTGTTTGCAAATAATTAAGCTTTTAAGAGATAATGGTAGGAGCTAATGTACACAACAAAGTAAAGGTCTCGAGTCACTGTTTATCGAACAGTGGTACAATTTGCTTTGATATCCCAAAGTGATCTGGAGTGATAGGTGTACTTGCCAACGGGAATCAGGGCATTGTTTTAAGACACACACTTCCATATATCCATATATATATATACACGTGCAATTATTATATATAAAATATATACACATGCAAATACCCAATTAAAGCCGTACATATCTGAATGCCTTTAAACAAGCCATTATAAAGCTTTAGGAGCGTGCCTGTTTTTGCTGCCTGGGTGAAATAAAGATCAGCAAAAGCACTTTTGAGTGAATTTCCTATTTCTTCATAAAATGGCAGTTCTCAGGGTTTCCCCCTTTCTCTCTGTTGCAATGTGATGTCTGCCTTTGCCTGTAGCCCAGGCCTTCCTAGCCCTGTGGGTGGGAATGCAACAAGGCTTTGAATGTTTTTATAGCAACCTAGCCTGTGGCATGCTGATTCTTTGTCAAGTCATTTTTTTTTTTTTTTAGCCTACAAAGGAACAACTGGTACGATCTGCAGAAAGCTTATATAATAAGGATGCCCAGTGTTTAAGATATTTTAAACACACCCAGTTGTAGTTGAAAAGCCTGCCTGCCGCATTGGGAACCTTCAGCTAAGAGGGATTAGCGACATGAAGTCGTGGCTGCCATGTGATTCTGGGAGTTATAGATTTTTATTAAATTAAAAGTTTATGCTGTGCTAGGCTATGAGACCAAAAAAAAAAAATCAGATGACCTTAAACATCCCACAATTTAAGGAATTTGGGGTTTGGGACTTTTAAAGCAATTATTTTTACAGTGACTGTATTATTCTGATGGCTAATTTTATCCAGTCTTGTCTATTTGGAAAAAAGTCCAGAACAATTGAAAATTGCTTAATGGAGACAGAGTTCTCAATTCCAATAGCTAGAGGCTGTCTAGTAATTATTGCTTGCTGCATGAAATTAGACACAGTTTGTTCAATTACTTAAAATTAGATCACATGTAAGGTGGCAAAGTGAAATAAGAAAAAAAAAGTATAATTTTGTCCTCGCTTGATAGCAAAGTAATGAAACGGGAAGCAAGCTATAAAGATGAAAATGTTGCAAATTGTCTCAGTAGTTTTTTTTTTTTTCTTTGAAGAGAAGCATAATGTTATGTTCAGATAGATGGATGTACGTCAAATATGACTTTGTTGGGGATGAACACGTGTATAAGTCAGACTCTAAAATTCATACTGGACTTCAGCATGTGTAAAATGCAAATCGCCCATAAAAAGAAGTGAATGTGCACAAAGTAGAGCGGGTTGTTTACAGATGTTCAGGTTATCTGTGGGCTTACTGTCAAGAACTGTGTTTGTGGAAGAATGGAAAGTTCCCTGCCACGTTTGGCAGGGTAAGCGTGTCTTCTGGAGCTGATGGCCACGGCAGCGGGCTTTGAAATGGGCACATTGGGCAACAGGATGCTACAGCAAAAATCCATATTTGGGGAAGTGAGGTAATTCAGCCCTGCAACGGAGCCATTAGATGTCAGATTAAGCTGTTTACAAGAGTATATAAAAGCTGCTAAATAGTTACGGTCCCAATAAGATCGCTGACTTTTATGAGGTTTTAAATTCTTACACTTTACAAGGTTTCAGTTTACATCTCCTGTAATATTATGCTGAAGAATACGTCCAAAGAATATGGGACTATTTGGGAAAAAACGGATGTGTGTATAACAGCAAATGCTTTCTGACAAACAACTGTTAAATGCAATGTTTGGGTAGGTCTAAACAGTTTTATCAAGCGATCTTACTGAAATGTTATGAAGTGCCTCGCAGCGGCCCAGATCTGGAGTTGGTGTGCGCTGACACTTGCACGTCCAAGTTAGGAGCCTTCTGACTTGTGAGCCAGAGCAGGGTTTCTCCTGGGGATTGCTACGTTTGTAATGTTTGGCCATTTCCTTGCGAGACAGTGACGTTTTTACATGGAGAGGAAGGATAGAAATGATATTGCTAATGTCATTTCTAAATTCGAACTTGGATGTGGTTCTTGCTGTTGATTTATTAAGCAATCTGTATTCATGCAGAAGTGAATTTTCTGAGAAAGCAATCAAGTTCTCACAAGAAACTTAACTTATGATTTAATTTTAACATTATCTTCAATTAAACCAGTATTTATTTTCCGTCTCTTAGGATTAGTGCAGCATAGCTATGTTAATGTCAGGCAAAAATGTGCTGATCGCTGACCTTGTGTTGGCCTGTGTTCAAAATGCAGGCGTTTGTTTATGTTCAGGATGCTGATCTTATTTGCAAATTATTTTGGGGCACTGGCAAGATTTGTCTTCGCTATCTCAAAAATCATCAGTTCATTTTTAGTTTCCTAGTGAAGTGCTATATCGCATTCTTCATTGTTTTGTGAAATACGGGAAAAAAAGAATTGTGATTTGAGTCTAATCACTCATTTGAGACAAGTGTAAAAACTTCCAGCTAATGCAACAAATACCCTTCTTGAGTATGAAGGTACTGCCAGTATCCTAAGTAGTTATTTTTCCACTTCACTAATCTTTATAATTGGCTTGTCTTTTACTGCCATTAATTAAGTGATGTAGTAGCCCATTAATAATTATAAAAGAGTGACACACCTCAGCATTTTCACCTTTCAATAATAGATGTCATGCTTCTGTTTTTTTTTTCTTTCTTTCTTTTTTTATTGCTTTTTGTTTTGTTGTTTTATTGTTTTGTTTTAATAAAAAACTAGGCAAAAAAAATACATTGTTTTAAATGCATATATTTATTTTGGTGTCTTATAGCACCCTTACCCTTCAGAAGAACAGAAAAAGCAGTTGGCACAAGACACAGGGCTCACTATACTTCAAGTGAACAATTGGTAAGTAATTTTCCTTAGTGTTTCTATACGGCCGCCGGCACCCTCCGGCTAACGCTTTGCATTTCTGAGGACACACCTTGCCTTGTCTGCTTCCCCCAGCAGTTTATCGATGCAAAAGTGGTAGAGACGGGCGAGTGGTTTCCATGATGGGAGCTAGGAGGTTTGCCGCTGCAGAAAACCAGCAATTTTTACTTGCCCGTTGCTTTCTCAGCAATTTCAGTGGGTTTGCATCTGGGTACCAGTCCTCCTTTCTGGCTGAGGATGTGTCCTCTTCAATAGAGGGCCACATCCATTTGGAGAACTTTGTCATTGAGAAGTTGGGTGAAAAAATGGGCACTGGGCCCCGTTTCTGCAGACTGTATTGTTATTTTGTGCTGCTGTCATGCTTTATTTAATGCTGTTGGTGGGGTTTTCTTTTTGACTTGACATCGTTATATCCATTTATTGGTTTGTTTAAAACGTTCAGTTTTTGAAAGCTTGAACAAACGTTGAGGACAATCTGTCTCTTTCCTGCTGAAGGACTGTGTGGAGCAAGTGTATTTATTTATTCTGGCCGAGGATTGCTGGAGCCCCTGACTTGCTGTAGTAGTGATTGTTTTAAGGAAATTGGGATCTGTGCTGTTTGTGCAGTGGATTTTGAGTTGCTAACTTTTGGAGATGTGGTGAAGGCCCCCGGTGAAAATTACCTGTGATTTAAGTGTGAAGATGCAACAGCAAACCCGTTAAAAACGTTTGATTTATTACCTTTTGTTCCTGCATCGAAATGTAGGTTTCTCCCACTGTCCCTGAGCTAGTGTCATATTTGAAGTGTATTGCAATCTAATACCTTGTAAAACTAAGTGTATCTAATTAATTGTCCTAATATTTTTAGATTAGTGTTTATGATGGGAAACCTTATCCTCTTTGAAGTAATACCCAGAAAATGGCCAAGGCGAACGGCGAGCCTGCTGGGGAAAAGGGAGGGAGGAATGCCAGTTTGCAGACAAAAGTATTTTTTTTCCGTTCAATAAGTGTCAGAGATTAATATTACTGAAGGTCTGATTACATGGCCTAATCCATTTTGGTGAATAAATTTGGTCTTGATGTCCATTGCACCTACATTAACAAACCCTCCTGTGTTAGAGAGAGTGGGAGCCTATGGGAGAGATTTCAGATATATTAAACCCCATTACAGAAAATGTAATTTCTGTCAATATAATCCCATGTATTCTTCAATTTAGTACTTTAGAGATAACAAGCTACTTACAATATATTTGCCTTTGGAGGATTAATTTACAAAGTGCACTATCTGGGAGACGCAGGCGGGCTCACATAAGCATAGCTTGTAAGGGTTATCAATTTCTGTGACCCCACAGCAGCCCTGGGAGATCAATTTTTTGAAGCCCTTTAAGACACCGAATAAAGGGAAATACCAAATACTTAGTACATGTGAAGTAGGCTTCCAAGATACTTTAAAATGGAGGAATAAAAGGCACTAAACGTAAAATACACGTTACAAGTAAACGCAAACTGCAGTATTTTGGCTCAAGCCAGGAAAAACTAGTGTTTGTTTCAGCTCTATATCCTCCAGGTTTTGTCCAGCTGATACCCTCATTTCTGTGGTTGAAAGAGAGGTGGTGTGGTCGGTGTAGGGGCCGTCCGTGTTTGTCAGGCGTCCTGTTTAATGGTAAGCTGGAAGCACAGCTCCCCTGGGTGATACAGGGAGGCTGAAGCAGCTCAGGCAAGGACATGGATCGGCTTCCAGCTGGAGCTGCATGTTGGGTGAGCATTGAAGGCTGGAGGCTGTGGGTGAAGGTGGGAGCAGATTCAGACAGGAACAGCACAGGAAAAGGGACAGGGAGGGGGTCTGGCCTGAGAGCAGGATTCAGCCTGGGCATATGAGTCAGTTTGGGATGGTCCATCAAAGATTTTCCAAATGATGAGCATGGGATGCTTTGAACTAGTGCTGGTGGGATTTGTCCCGTGTGACTTTCCAGGGTGGTTTTTAGTACCCATCCCGCCTTGGATTTGAGTTTTACTTTGGCTTTGTGTCAGATGTGTTTTTATAAGTTCCTTATGTGCAAGGAAAGGAAAAAAAAAAAAAAAGTAGGTCAAAATACATTATAACTGAAGTCTTGTGGATGTAGGGCAGGCTTCCTCTGCTTGAGCTCGTTTGGTAATTCTGCCGTGGCGTTACAATTGTATAAATTATTGAGAGAATTCCCCTTCCCTCCCCAGCCCCACAAGATTTAACACTGTAGAGCCGGTCAGGGCTTTTTCAGTCACACGTGGTGGATGGAGATGCAAGGGTGTAGTAATCCAGCTGTTTTGTGGTGGGTGCAGAAGAGCAAGGGGGCTGTGGGGCCGTGGCTGAGTGTGCAGGTTGCACAAACACGCAGGAAGCAGCTGGCCATGGGGTGAGCAACAGCTCCTCGGTCCTGGGGGCGCGGGCAACCCTCTCCCAGCCTTTCCCTGAAAAATACATTTCTGTGTAACGCGGCGTGCATGAGAACCAGTTCTTTTTGCCCAAATTGTTTGCTGCGGGGAAGAGTGAACGTATCGTTTCTGGTTTAGCTTCGCCTTTCTTCTGCGGGCTCATAAGTCATTCAGCCACAACTTTCAAAAAATTTCGCCTTCCTCCTTAGATTCTTCCCAACTTGTTAACACACATGTACATTTTTGTATTAATGATGAGTCATTGTAAATCACTGTTGCAGAGATTAAATAAAATGCTGAAGGGCAGGCTGGGTGCAGATCAGTCATAAATTATTGGCAGCAACACAGCATGTGGGAATACATGAAATGTGCATGAAAAACATAAACTCATGTCTGGTAGCATGGTCGTTAGCCCAGACTGGGAATGCTGGATTTTCTGGATAGAATTATAAGTTTGCCACAGAGAAGTCAGTGAAGAGAGCATTTGTTTTCTGCAGATTGAAAGCATTTGAACAATTTTTTTGTCATATTTTGAATGCCTTTACAGTATGTGCTAGTTGCATACTTCAGTTCTCGGCCGTAACGAAAAAATGGTGCTTTTCACATACGGCCTGCCCGGTGTTCGGGCTCCCCGGCTTGATGCACACAACTCCTATTGATGGCGGAGGAGTCACAGGAATGGGGTGATGATGTGAGACGTGCCATAAAACCTACCAGTGGTAGGGCGCATGTCTTCAAAAATACCACAGTTTTAACTCGACCCTTTTTCTTGTGTGTAAGTTGGATTTTTTTTTAATAACCCATGTGGAGGATTTCCCCCCTCCATATTCCCTTTTTTTTAGTAACAATTCTGCCTGCAAATCAGCAGTGTTGCCTCTTAGGACCACCGTTGTGCCACAGTTGGGTGTTTGCACTGTGGGAAGCAGGAAGCCTTTACCGTGTTGCAAAAACTCTTGCAGGTAGGGAGGTAGCCAAGTTTCATACCTCGTCAGTCTAAATGAACTGGTCAGGTCCTCACCTTGCTAGTCGTTTAACCCCGCAGCACTTTGGGGTTCGGAGTACCGCAATGTGAGCTGGAAGGGGCAACTTGGGTAGTCTTGACAGCGTTGCATATATGGACATGGAAGGGACCTGACGAAGTGCAGGTTAATAAGGTGCTTTTCCCCTGTGATAAAAACCACCGCTCGGTGATTGAAATATCCAGGAGGTGTGATACAATCACTTATTACCTCAGCTGAGAGCCAGCCAGGCTATATTGAACAATCTATACGGTTTCCTTGTTTACTGCATCCCAGCTGAACCTCGTCCTGTTAAGAACTAATGGCAAATAATTACTCATGGCACTCTAAGGAGAGAGGTCAATTCTCATCAAGGGCTGTATTAGGTGTCAGGTGCTTGGTTCTGCTTTATGAAAGCCTAGGAATACACAGGTAAAGGTCTGTGTATTTGTATAATAATGCCCTTATGTATCTCTCTGTGTTTACGTATCTAAATGTGACTCTCTCTCTACATAGAATGCATGCAACTGCATTAAAATTATCTTTATAAATATATATAGAGATGAAGTTTACAAATTCTTAAATCTCCAAAGCGAGGGAGCGCCAGCCTTTTATTAGGTGTTTCCATTCTGCTGTTTCCAAAACGCCCTTGTGTTATCTAGGGCACAGACCAGACAATGATGGAGCAGCTAGTCAATATTTTATCTTACCCTCATTCGTCAGCGCTTCATTTGTTGAGCCGTATTCAAACCCTGCTTGAAGATGGAATTAATAATTCCTGATGGGCTTTCCTGTAGCGCTCACCACTGTAATACCCAGGTTCTCCACTACCTCCACTTACCTGTATATGCACACATGTGCACGATATATTTACAGTTCCCCTGCAAAGAGGGAGCATAGTATTGTGGTTGTGCAGGTGAGGAGCTGAGCCTGCAGGAGGTTCACCCAGCCCATCCACTGGTTTGGGGTCGGGTTGGGACTGAGCTGACTCAGAATGATGGCACGTTATCCACATTCAGAGGCCCAACAATCTCCGAGTTCATGGAAACTCCAAGTTTTTAGTGTCTTGGCATCTAACATTTCCAAGCTCCAGTGCTGGGCACAGAGGAGAGGCACAAGGAATTGGTAACTGCTGGTGAAAAGTTAGGTTTTGATGATTTACTCAGAAGCTCCCAAGCAGTCCAAGGCAGCAGCTAAAAATCCCGTCCTCCGGCGCTGCGTTCAGCTGCTCCAGCCAGGAGCTTTTATTTTCTTGCCATTCGCTGCCTTATTCACTCAACTTTGACGATGTTTATTTCCTGTAGAGATCAATTTTTCTACATGATAGTGATTTGTTCTCGTAACATAACCGTCATTGTGGTGACTGAGGCTTTGGGCTCTATAAAAAACCATACCGTGAGCCGGTGACCGTACTGCTTGCCTATAAAGTGGATTAAGGAATAGGATGCAAGCAGCTCTAGCAATACAGTTTCCTACCTCTTGACTTCTTGATTTTATGACCTTGGCTTCTTTAAATGTCATTTTTGTGTATAATTTCCTAGGCTTGAAAAAAAAAAAAACAAAAAAAAAACTAAACACAACAAACCA